AATTTAAAGGTTAAAGTTATAAAAATAAATCTGAAAAGAAAACTTTGATTTAGTTTAATTAAATGTGAAAAATGTATTTTTAAATTGGGGAGTGGTGCCCTAGTGATTAGGGCATTGCGCCTAGAATCCTGAGGTTCCGAGTTCGAGCCCCACTCCCACAGACTGCCACGCTGGGTCCCTGAGTAAGACCCCTAACCCCACACTGTTCCTCGGCGCCCCACCATGGCAGCCCACTGCTCCCCAAGGGGATGGGTTAAATGCAGAGGTAAATTTCTCCAATGTCAGATCAATAAAGTTCAATTATTAAATTTGAAATGAGAATAAAAACTGAGAAAATGGCAAAATTACTCTCAAAACCTTCCTTTGATTTAAACATTTTTCAAATTTTAATATTCAAATGTTTTTTTCGTCTACAAAAATTGTATATTGTTCTTTGCTTTCAACGATAATGGAACCAAATTCACTCCATAGCTATTTTCTTACATTTAGAATTTTAGATATTTAGGCGCGTGTTTTGGACGGATATCTCTTCCCTCATGCTTCTGTGTGAAACTATAAGTTTTGGTATTTTTACTTCAAGGTGTTTATCCCAAGAATGTCTCTTAGCAGCCTTGCTAACAAACCCTTGTCCTTCGCAGATACGCCATCTCAATGGCGAGGAAGATTGGCGCGCGCGTCTACGCATTGCCAGAGGACCTGGTGGAGGTCAAACCTAAAATGGTGATGACGGTCTTCGCCTGCTTGATGGGCAGAGGGATGAAGCGCGCCTAAAGGCCGCCGCTGGGATCACAGTGACACTTCTACTCCACCCCCTCCTGAAAGCAATTAGCATCTGAGAGAGCTCTCCTCTGGCGAAGAAATGAAGATTGGTTTTTGTTTTTGCCTTAAAATGAGTCAGAATCATCCAGCTGCATGCCCCCTCCCCTTCCCCCCTGCCTCTCCTCATAAACGGAGGCGTTTCCTGAAGGATCCTGTATTGAAGGTGAGGCTCCGGTGGCGGCGCTTATCAACCTGTTACTTATCAGACTGCTGTTTTTATTTTTTTTGGGCTTTTGTTTTTTCCAATACAAGTATGCATAATATACCAGCTGCAAGGTTGTTTACATATTTCTACTCTGACTGGTGAGTAAATGATCTCCTGGGCACGGCGACAGACATTCCTGAGTGCCGTACCATTGAAAATATGCATCAGAAGGCCAAAAAAAAATCAGCTGGAAGTTGAAAGGATTTCAAGTTTGGGTGCGTCCTCCCAATTAACGCAGTGCCAGCATGTCTCAGTAGGTGGCGCTGTGGACGTCTGCGTATCAGAAACCACGAGGTCGCTCCTTGGTGCTGATCGGTGGGATTTGCTAACTGTAGCCCTGTACTTGTAATTTGTTTGTTTTTTCCTGGGATTATGATAAAGCTGTAAATGCTGTCTTGAAGGGTGTCTGCTTTGTTGTTGGGATATATTTTTTTAAATGAATTCTGTCTGTTAGATGAGGAGCGATCCATCGCGACTCTGCTGCCTTCATGCTGTGCCTTTAACTATCAGACTGTTTTGTATTCATGCTTCGTGGTTTCCTGCTCATATTTGACTCTACCAAAAACTCTAACTTCATTCCAGGGAGCTCAGTGATGCGCTGAGACCATGACCAAATTGGATTTTGTTTTCTGATCATGTCTGTTCTCCAAAATAAGTACTTTACATGTAACAATAAATATCACTTTGAAAACAGCTGACATGTTTGTTCTTTGTGGTGGCGGTGGGGGAGGAGGACAAGATATACTTAGACCAACTTTTGTTGCTTAAAGCTGAACATGTAATGTAATCCCTTTTTTTTGTCTCAAAATGGGGAAATTCAGCCTCTGCATTTAACCCATCACCTTGGGAAGCAGTGTGCTGCCATTGTGTGTCACATAGGAAGCAGTTTGGGGTTTAAGGTTTTGCTCAGAGAACCAGAGAAGTGTAGGCTGTGGGCCTTGCAAAATTCTCAGAGAACAAGTGCACTATTCTAACCACTGGGCCAACACTCATCACCATGTATAAAATGCAGCAGTGATCAGAATGTAAAGTGTAGGAGAAAAGGAAAAACCAGTTTAAGAATACTGGTGCAAAAGGCAATGAAAGGTTCAGTAAAGTGCACAATAAATATGGTGCAAAATGCAGTAGAACAGTGAATTGTGTCCATGTTGGTGGTGCAAAATAATGTTGCAAGTGTGATGCAGAGTCCAGTTTAAAGTTTAATAGTCCAACAGTCTGATGGCAGTGGAGAAGAAGCTGTTGCAGAGTCTGTTGGACCTGTATCGAATGCTGTGAAGCATCTTCCCAGAGGGCAGCAGGGAGAACAGTCCATGGTGGGGGTTTAGGCGGTCATTGATGTTACGGGCCCGGGATGAAATTATTTTAGAAGAGGAGCCTCGATTATCCTCTCTGCTGTTTTCACCGCCTTCTCACCTTCCAGTCTACGGCGCTGCAGCCTCCACACCATACAGTGAGACAGCTGGTCAGAACACTCTCTAGAGGTAGCATGACTGGTATTAGGTACCAAGATGAGATTCTCAGACCCCTTGTGAGACCATACTCTGATGCGGTTGGCCCTGGGTTCCTCCTAATGCTGGAGTGGCTGGAGTGTGTCAGCAGTTCCTGCAAGATGAAGGCATTGACGCTTTGGACTACCTCATAGCGTCAATGCCTTCATAAGTAGGAACCCAGGGCAAACCGCACCAGAAGATGGTCATAGAAGCAGGGGGAGACCACACACAATACTGAACCTCATTCTGACCTATTTGAAGGATATTACATCAAAGCTGGATCAACCATGAGCGTTTTTATCCAGTTTAATCCAAATCCAGGCCTCCATTGTTTAATACATCTAATTTCCATTGGTGAATTTTGTTGTCAGCACATTCAACTTTGCACAAAACAAATCATTCAATGAGAATATTTCCTTCATTAAGATCTAGGATGTGTTTTTTGAGTTTCCCGTATATAAAACGTTAGGAGCATTGACTGATTTTTAAACCTTTGCAAAGGTAGAAAAGATTGGTTTTGCATACAGGTTTAGGCCAATAAACCAGTGCACCACAAATTTATATTTAATGTGTATTAAGACGTGAAGTAACGATAACATTCAATGCTCAGGCTTGTAGCACAGATTTAATGACAGTCAAAGATTTACAGTGGATACTGGTTATAGAAAAAAAATATCCACCCTCTTTAAATAGTCTCAAATTGTTCATAATCTGGTGGTAAAATTTCCAACATTACTTACCCCTTTAATAAGATTTCTTCCCATTCAACTAAAACAAAAGTCTGTTGGAAAAAATATGATAAAATAGCAAATTTGCAGATTTTATTTCGTATTTTGTTGAACCACCTTTTTCCGTTACCTTCAAATGATCTTCAATGAAAACCAGTAGGTTTGGCTCCAACTTAACTGGTGAGGAAGTCTAGTTCCATCCAGATGGAGTTAACTCCATAGCATGATGCTGCCACCGCCTTATTTTACTGTTACTCTGTTGATGTGCAGTGTTGCTTTTGGCAAGCTGACTTAGTCAAACTAATAAAACAGCAAAAGGAACTATCCCATTATAACTTTTATGATTCCACTGTTTACCTCATTTTCCCTTTACTACTTCTCCTTCCTCTTATCTTAGTTTCTGTTGCCCTTCTTCCCTCTTTTCTATCGTAAAAGCCGTCATCTGTCTGACCAAGTAAACTACGAGGAAGAGTAGTTGCATGTTTCATCCGTTTAACTTTCTAACAGATGCCACCTTTTTCACGGTTTCCTGACTTCCTCAGAGCAACGGGGGACAGACGAAACAGGCAGACTGTTGCTCACCGTTGGCTGACTCTGATCTCAGATGATTGTGAAGTCCTCTGGGCTTCCGTCCTTGTAAAGTCTTTCAATCTGCTGCACCTTGATGACGAAGTTGCCTCATGTGGCCTTTTGTCATCTCTGCTCATGTTTTATTTCCTTCATATTAATTGGATTAAAAGTTTGAACGTTCTTATTTCTTGTTCAAGAAAAAAATATTTATTTTATGATAAAATGAAGACTTCAATCAAAACTACATTATTATTCTTTCTATGTTCATAAGCAGCTTTCAACCTCAACAGATGATCAGATTAAAGCTGTTTTGCTTGCCATTAGGATTCACCCAAAATATCAGCTTTCTACTGGATAAATCACACTTTCACTATTTAAAACTTTTTCTGTCACATTTCTGTGATGTGATCCGTGAGTTAAATAAAGTTAAAAAATCTAATTAAATAAACAAATGTCCCATGAAAAAAATAATGGAACATTTATTTCTCTACCACATGATACAGTATTAATAATATTAATTTAATGATTTTTTATTATTTTACCAAATAATTGAGAATAGAGAAAAATATTAAAATTAAGTTGAATCGGTTCAAACTGAAACAAAGAGTCAGACTTAAAATAATGATACTTAATTTATAGTTTTGGGATTTAAAGGAGATTTTAGTTTATTTCACTATGGTCTTTCTTTGTTTAGCTGTCAAAGTTTGATTGGAGGGAATGCAAAAAAACTTTCTTTTAAATCAAAGCAAAGCTCAAAAATAAATGTTTGGAATCCAGGTCAAGGGTGGTTCTGCCTTCCCCTAAGAGGAGAGGGACACGAGGAAATATAAAAATAGAAAAGTATATGCAAGCATTTATCCAACATTAAGCTTCTGCCTGTGTCCCCCCACCTCTTCAAAAAAAGAGCATCAACTGCTCAGTCTTTTCACATCTACATACCTGTGCCATTCAGGTTTTTCTGCATTAACATGGATCAAAAACAAGTAGTGGTCAAGCAGGTAAAGGATTATATGTTAATTACTGCCTACTGACCACACCAGGGGCCTGTGCTTGTTAGAGAAGCGGATGAATTTCTCCCATTAATAGGCTGTATGCACAGCTTCACCACTTCCTGAACTTCTGTAGCTCCTGTGTTTCCCATCCTTCATCACTGACTTTCCATCCATCCATCCATCTTCTAACACGCTTAATCCCAAGTGGGGTTGCAAGGGGTGCTGGTGCCTATCTCCAGTTGTCTACGGGCGAGAGGCAGGGTCCACCCTGAACAGGTCGCCAGTCCATCGCAGGGCAACACAGAGACAAACAGGACTAACAACCATTTATGCACACACTCACAACTAAGGAGAATTTAGGGAAGCAAATTAACCTAACAGTCATGTTTTTGGACTGTGGGAGGAAGCCGGAGTACCTGGAGAGAACCTGTGCATGCTCAGGAGAACATGCAAACTCCATGCAGAAAGACCCCGGGCCAGGAATCAAACCCAGAACCTTCTTGCTGCAAGGCAGCAGTGCTACCCACTGTATCACTAAGCAGCCCATTACTGAGTTTCATTCAATTTTCTCTTTCTTATTCCTTTCTCCTTTTCTAAATATAATACACTATTCAAAAACAGAGACGTAATAAAATCACAATTCCATCTAAAAGCATTAGAATTTAAAACAGGAAAACTTATAGTTTAATTTTTAATATAAGAATTTTATTTCACACCCCTTTGGGAAGTTGGCTATTTTTGGATTAGATTATGGGGTTGCTATTATTATTATTGATTTGCTACTATTATTACCACAATTTTTTGAGCTCAAAGCAAAAATTTAATAATAAAATAAAATTATACAGGTTGTTATCTCTTCCTTCATCATTCTACGATCTTTTCTCATTCAATTTTCCTGTTCAGCCTCTTTCCTACTGAAAATATCGGGTTAACACGTGTTTTTCAAACATGGTTGACCCGCTAACAATCAGCATACGTCTTCCCTCCCATCGGCTGAAAAAAAGCTTATCTCACCCCTCGCTGGCAGCTGCATGGCTTCCGTCCCCCCGCAGCTGCGTGTCTGTTGACACCATCACGCTAGGTTAGAGTTGATGATGTCATCAGTGTGACAGAAATCAGGAAAGTAAACAATGGAGAGCAACATGAAAGGAAGCCAGGATGTAGTCAGTGTGCTTTATTGTTCCGCTCTATTTTCTGTCTGAATCCCTCTTGCCAGAGCTGCTCCATGTTTATCGAATGTAAACACAGTTGTTTATACTTGTTAGATCAGACGCGACTGGCGCAGTGTGTTGACGTCTGTATGTTGCCTTCAATGGTATCACGTAATTTAGCGTTCCCACAGCATGCTGATCAGAGCCGAGGCGATTTTAACGCGGGTTGCTTGCAGATTTGCTTGACCTAGGCAGACACGCATCAGAGAGTATGTGAGTAACTAAGAGTTTACCCACTGCCACTGAAAGCCCATTTTTCCTGGGCCCATTTTTCATGAGGACCTTTCATGTATCCAACCTGAGTGGTAGAAAAGCACAGAAAAGCCTGGAAGTCTATCAGTTCTAAAATGTCTTTAAACATCTTTAGACAAACCCTTGTTGATCCCTAGAGAAGCATAATATCACATTAGTACCTTACAAGGAGTTTTTAATCATTCTGTTATACTTTATCATATATTTTATACCCGCTGCAACCCGTGGTCTTGTCTTACTTTTTGTTGATTAGCTTGGTTTATGTTACATTTTAGGTCCTAATCTTGAGTAAAACAAAACAGATCAAAGCCCTATTTTATTTTAGTTTTGCCTGGGATGAACCCAACATCCTCATTTTCTGAAGGATCAGACCAAACCAAAACAAATTAATTGATTAACACACCCAACAAACACAGGGCAACCATAAGTTGTGAAAACAAACTTCCATCTTTGGTTTTAAAAGTGGTGCAGTCTGTTCCTCATCTTTAGTAGATCAACCAGCTACAACTACTTAACTTTGAACACTCTGAAGAGTGTATTCCCTGACCAGCAGCAAAATCATTCAGGGAATCGTCCCAATGCGGCCTCCGCTGCTGGGACCGTGGACAGAGGGAGAGCACTGGGGGTCTTATAAAGAAAGCATGGAAGGAGGGCATCACGTCCCTTGCAGTACCTCTTTAGGAGTGTTTTGCAGAGGGGCTGAGGTATTTAAAATTAGCTAAGAAAACCTACACGAATGTTGTTACACCAATCTTTAAAATTATTCTATTGGTTGGTGGCACTACCATTATGTTTTGTTTGGATTTCATGTGATAGAAGCATGAAAGAAAGAAAACTTAATTGTACATTTTGTGTTTTTGAATTAAGTGGATGTTTTCGAACATTTACTGCAAATCTTACAGCAACTTTACTCATCTAGATGCATTGTCTGTTCTTCTTTGCAAAGTATATGCTCAGTCCAGTGGTGATGAGAAGGTGGAGCAGACAGCTGTGTTTAAGTCTTACCATGGATGGTCTGGCTTTTCTCGAGATTCAGTGTCCTGCAGCCTTTTCTCTCCTTGGCTGAATACAGAGGAAGTTCAACCATTTAATTCAGGTGTGCTGGACTAGGGGCGCATCTAAAAGTAGTAAAACCTGAGTTTAACACCCTGATCTAAAGGAACATTAAGCATAAAGGATTTCTCTCCTTTTACGAGTTTTGTTTCAAGGAATTCCCTGTTTTAATGTCACTGCTTTGGCTTTAAAAAAAGAAACAAAGAGAAGAAAGATGATGCAAAATCAACAGTTAACCAGAGTTAATAAAGGCAGATAACGTAGAATGACGGGCTTGAAGCAAAACTGTCCTTTCAGCATACTGCTGCCAGCATCATGCTTCCCCACTGGCAATGTCCTGTCATTCATTCTTGCTAGGTAAGGAGAAAAAAAATACAACATTTTTAAATATACATTTTTAAAGTCATATTTGCATTTCTTTCTTATTTATTTTTTAACAACTCTAGACACAGATTTCTAACAGCTCTGTTAGAGAAGAAGGTTTTATCTGAGCCGCAATCAGGAACATTTCCCTGAAGACTCCTCGCATGTACTCCTCTACCATCTTGAATCAAGGGAAGCACCGCCCCTCATTTACCTCCTCACCTACCTGTGTACTTCTCTCTCTCATCAGAGGGTGAGCGCAAACTTGTGTTCACACCTCTGAGGAGAACACCTCTGAAGCATCACAGAACATCCTCCCAAACACCTCAGGCTGTTTTAAGAGTCTGTTTTTCGTTGGGTGACAATGTTGTGGATGGAGCCGTCAGAGGAGACCTGCTCCAGATCATGGTGTCATTAGAAACCTCCTGCTGTAACTAAAGGAAATTAAAGGTAAGTCTAACTCTTTGTGTTTGGGTGTGTGTGTATTTGGCAGTGGTGGTGGTGGGGTTCTCCAGTTAATGATAACCTTTTCCTAAAATCTCTGCCCCCACTTAATAAGGTGTTGCATAATGTACGGTAACCCAGATGCCCCATGATGTAATGACACATATGTGCCACAGTTTGCTCCCACTCAGCATGTTGGTTTCCTGAGTGATGAGGGCCCTCAGGGATGGCTGCTGATTGGCTGGCTGAGCCGCAGGCTGAGCGACTGAGCGAGTGTGTGTTTTCGTTAATGATCCACCAATTAGTCACACAGTGGTAACAGTTGTCTAAACAGCTCATCTGTCTGTGCTGCAGGCTGGAAGTTGGTTTCAGGGACCAATGGAGCAGGTGGGGCTAAAGTGTTAAGTATTCACCTTAACACAAAGGTTGAGTTCACATAGGGTTTATTCTCATTTTTTCCCGCAACTTTACTTTACACATTATAGACTAAACCAAGCAGTGAAAATTACAGAAGCAGGGGAAAAAAAGACAAATTCATACATGAATAAAATAACAACCAGGAGCTGGTCAGAAGTTAATGAAGATCAAATTAATAAAAACAGACTCTTTCAAGAGTATGACTAAAGGCTCCTTCTTTGGGAAATTTATCAAGAGAGTCTCTCACAAAAACGGAAAACTGAAAAGAAACAGCAATTATCAAGCCGCTGTTCAAAATGAGCACCTGCTACTGCTACTGCAGAACTACAGGCCCATCTCAAACCTCCCATTAATCAGTCAGATTATTGGAAAAGCTGTGTTTCAACAGGTTGAAGCCATCTTAACTGTGATCACCTGCTTTGATGTCTTGCAGTCAGGTTTCCATGCCAACCACAGGCAGAGGTGTCCCAAGTATTAATGTTTATTACTCCAGTAGAAGTATAAATCCTACTGTTTCAAAACACTTCTGTAGAAGTTAGAGGATCAACTTACGCTTTTTACTCCGGTAAAACTGTATCAGTACCATTTTTAAAACTACTTAAAGTATTGAAGGAAAATTAATGCAGGTAATTGGTAAGGATAGAAGCTTTACTGCATTACTCTATTAAAGGAAAAACATTCTAAAATTCTCAATGATTATTCCTTAAACTTCATTTTCTTGGTTTTATAACTAATGGTAAGAGTGTCAAATTCAACTTTGCATCATCTATAAAAACTATTTATTTTGCTATGTGGTAAACAACAAGTTGGGGCAGCACAGAGTCCAACCACAAATAAATTAATAGTCTGAATTAAACTAATTATTTAGTTTTTAATTCGTTTTTTTAATACCAACAGGGCATGATGAAAATTAGCTTAACGGAAAAAAAAACCAATGAGTCTATATATAGAATGTAAGGAGTATAAGTAAAAAGTTGCTTAAAAATAATTACTCCAGTAAAGTATAGATAGCCAACATTTCTACTTAAGTAAGGTAGCAACTTATTTGTACTATTTGTAATACAATATGATATTATTGGACCTCAGTCCAGTGTTTGATGCTGTTTATCACTGGATTTTATTAGAGCGTCTGGATAACTGGGTCGGCCTTTCTGGTTCAGCACTGGACTGGTTCAAATCCTACCTGAAGGGCAGGGACGTCTATGTGTCAGTAGGGAACTTTGAATCAGAGACCAGATAAATCCCATGTGGGATTCCTCAAGGCTCCATTCTGGGACCCCTCCTATACAACATCTACGTGCTCCCCTTACCTCAGGTTATAGCAGACAATTAGATCAGTTACTATAACTATGCAGACGATATATACAGCTTTATATCCTAAATGGAACCAGGTGACCATGAACCCATCAGAGCATTGGCTAGATGCTTAGAACAGATCAATGTGTGGATGCACCATAATTTTCTACAACTGAATAAAAACCAAACTGAGGTAATAATCTTCGGAACAAAGGAGCAGAGATCCAGAATTAGCTCCCAGCTTCACCTACTACAGCTAGAAACCAATGATTATGGCTGAAATCTCGGTGTCATGATGGACTCAGACCTGAACCTTCAGAGGCTCATAAAAACAGTTACCGTACTATGTCAGCCTTTTATCAGCTGAAGAACACCCAGGATTAAAGGACTAATGTCCAAGCACGATCTAGAAAACTCATTAATGTATTTATCTTTAGTAGAATTGATCACTCCAACAGTGTCCTCATAGGTTTGTCTCAAAAGTCCATCAGAAAGCTGCAGCTGATCCAAAACACTGCTGCCTGTGTTCTCACTAGAACTAAGAAAGTAGAGCACATTAGCCTGGTTCTGAAGTCCTTCCACTGGCTCCCTGTAGCTCAGAGAATAGACTTTAAAATCCTTCTGTTAGTCTAGAAATCACTGAATAGATTAGATCCATTTGGCCAAACACATCATACATAGATTCAAACACTTTGGCCCATAATTTTACAGATGTGGATAAAGCCAAAACACATAAATTAATTTAATCAGAAATATTCAGACAGAATTTCTGTAAATGAGATTTAGTGTAAAAAGGACATGGCAAAAGTGTTGCAAAATTGTGACTGGAGTTCATCTGATATAACTTAACCCTAATAATCCTGCTGAAGCGCTTTAGAAGCGTCTGTCTCCTTAAAAAACAATCAAGTACGACAGCGACATGAGCAGACTTAATGTTTTTTATCAAAAGTACAGAATTAAACGGAAATTTGAACAAAGTGTAATCTAGTGCAAATCATATCTATATAAACTAAATTTGGAGATCTAGAGAAAAGAAATCACTCAAATTGACATAATTAGATTCTATCAAAGGGACCAGACCAAATAAAACTTA